ATGTCTCAAGAAATTTTTAAAAACTGAAATCACATCAAGTATTTTCTCTGATCACAATGGAATAAAACTAGAAATCAATAACGAGAGGAACGTAGAAAATACACAAGCTCCTAGAAATTATCCAATATGCTCCTAAGTGATGAGTGGGTCAATCAAGAGATTTAGAAGAAAATTTAAACATTTCTCAAAACAAATGAAAATAAAAACACAATATATCAAAACCCATGGGATACGAAAAAGGCAGTAATAAGACGAAAGTTATAGCAAGAAGGGCCTACATCAAAAAAAAAAAAAAAAAAATAGAAAAGCTTCAAATACACAACCTAAAGATGCATCCTAAAGAACAAGGAAAACAAGAGCAAACAAAATCCAAAATTAGTAAATAAGTAATAAAGATCAAAGCAGAAATAAATTAAACTGAAGCCAAAATAACAATACAAAAGATCAAAGAAACAAAAAGTTGGGTTTTTGAAAAGATAAATGAAACTGACATACCTTTAGTTAGACTACCTAAGGGAAAAATGAGAGAAGATCCAGATAAACAAAATCAGAGTTAGAAAAGGAGATATCACAACTGATACTGCAGAAATCCAAAGTCTCCTTAGAGACTATGAGAAGGAACTCAACGCCAATGAGTTGGAAAACCTAGAAGAAATGGATAAATTCCTAGACACGTACAACCTACCAAGAATGAACCAGGAAGAAACCAAAAACAAGTAATGAGATGGAAACACTAAGTTCTCCCATGAAAGAAAAGCCCAGGACTGGACGGCATCGCTGCTGAGTTCCACTAAGCATTCAAGGAAGAACTTATATCAATTCTGCTTGAACTATTCAAAAAAATTGAGGAGGGATACTCCCAAACTCAATTACAAGGCCTATATCACCCTGATACCAAAACCAAAGACATAACAAAAAGAAAACTAGAGGCCAATATCTCTGATGAACAAAGATGCAAAAATCCTTAACGAAACATGAACAAACCAATTTCAATTGACATATTAAAAAGATTATTCATCTGGATCCAGTGAGATTCATCTGGGAGGCAGGAACGATTCAAATATGCAAATCAACAGATCTGATATGTCATATCAGGTAACACAAGACAGAAACCATATGATCATTTCAAGTGATGGTGTAAAAGCATTTGATAAAATTCAACATTCCTTCATGATAAAAATAACTCTCAGAAAATTGGTCATAGAAGGAACTTACCTCAACACAATATTAAGTCAGGTGTGACAGACCCACAGGGACTGTCACCCTGAGCAGGGAGAACAGAAAGCCTCTCCCCTAAGACCTGGAGCAAGTCACAGATGCCCACTCCCAGAGTGCTGAGAGTTCTGCCTAGAGCAATCAGTCAAGAGAAAGAAAGGGCACCCAAATTCAACAGGAAGAAGTCAAATTATCCTTGTTTGCAGACAATATGATCTTATATCTAGAGAAACCTAAAGATACCATAAAAAACTATTAGAACTGATAAATTCAGTGAAGTTGCAGGATACAAAATCAACATACAAAAAGCAGCAGCATTTCTATGTGCCGCCAGTAAGTAATCTGAACAAGAAACCAAGACAGTAATCTCATTTACAGTAGCCACAAACAAAGTAAAATACTCAGGAATAAACATAATCATAGAAGTGAAAGACTTCTACAATGAAAACTATAAAACACTGATGAAAAAAAATGAGGAAGACTCACAAAAACAAACAAACAAACAAAAACAGATAGTCCACGCTCATGGACTGGATAAATCATATTGTTAAAATGTCTGTGCTATCTAAAGCAATCTATAGATTCAATGCAATGCTCATCAAAATACCAATGATCCTCTTCACAAAAATTTTAAAAAATCCTAAAATGTATATGGAACCACAAAAGACCCAGAAAAGATAAAGCCCTCCTGAGCAAAAAGAACAAAACTGGAGGAATCACATTACCTGACTTCAAGTACACTACAGAGTAACTGAAACAGCAGGTTCCTGGTACACAGACCAGTAGGACAGAATGGAGAACACAGAAATAAACCCACACAAGCACAGTGAACTCACCTTCCACAGAGTTGCCAAGAGCCTCACAGTGAGGAAGGACAATCTCTTCAACCAATGGAGCTGGGAAAACTGGATATCCATATGCAGAATAAGGGAAGTTGACCCTCACCTCTTGCCACATAGAAAACCCAAATCGAAATGGATTAAAGAGTTAACCCTAAGACCTGAAACTATGAAACTACTAAAAGAAAACACTGGGGAGATGCTTCAGGACATCAGTCTGTGCAGAGACCCCCTGAGTGGCAGAACCAGAGCAAACCAGATGGCCATGCCCTTCACCCAGGACAGTGCTGGCCCCAGGAAGTGGAGACAGGTGTGAAGAGCACTGGCCAGACCTGTGACAGTGGCTGAGCAACAACACAACACACGTGACTGTAGGCAAGACACATTTATAGGACTTAGTAACAGCAAGTATGGGTGATGACAAAGGAAACAGGAAGCAGGGGTGACCCATAGAGTCCCAGTCTGACCCGGAAGTAGAGGAAATGCTCAGGACCCAGATGTGGAGGAGGGAAATAGACATGACAGAAAGACAAAGGGATAGATGAGAAAAGAATTGTTAAGATGACTTCCACCAAAACTGAATCCTAGCTAGTAACTGCAACTCTGATCCTCTCTAAAAGGGGTGCAAAAATGTAGAGAGGAGTCTGCCTTAGGGCATTATCCATGCCTGGGTAGCCATGAGTGTGGGGGAAAGTTCTGGAAGAAGACAAGAGAGCCCTTGAGAGTCAGGCTGAAGGAGAGGGGAGACTGAAAGGGGGCAGGGAACAGGAGGAGAGGAGACAGTGAACTGAGTAGCCAGAAGATCAGGACCCAGCTGAGCTGAGAAACCAAGGAGGGAGAGCCCAAGCACAGGGCACGCCATGGTGAAAAGGCCCGCTGCTCAGTGCGGGGACAGCACTCCCCACGCCTGGAAGCTGGGGCTCACCACAGTTCTGTCCCAGACCTGGAACCTGGGGCTCAACACTGTCCTGTCCCAGACCTGGAATCTGGGGCTCACCACTGTCCTGTCCCAAACCTGGAATCTGGGGCTCACTGCGGTCCTGTCCCCAGACCTGGAACCTGGAGCTAAACACTGTCCTGTCCCAGACCTGGAATCTGGGGCTCAACACTGTCCTGTCCCAGACCTGGAAGCCCCAGCTCACCACAGTTCTGTCCCAGACCTGGAATCTGGG